GCTGACCGGGGGTGCACTGTTCTCTGTGGCCATGGCCGTGGCCGTCTTCCTGCTCCTGGTGGACCTGATGCACCGGCGCCAGCGCTGGGCTGCTCGCTACCCACCAGGCCCCGTGCCCGTGCCCGGGCTGGGCAACCTGCTGCAGGTGGACTTCCAGAATGCGGCCTACTCCTTCTACAAGGTGAGGGACGTGGAGGTGGAGATGGAGGTGGCCATGGCCCAGATCTCAGTGATCCCCAGCTGCAGACAGTGGTTGGCTGCAAAGGCACATCCTGGACAGGAACTTTGACCCCAATAGAAAGCAGGTGGAAAGGATTTTTGAAAAGGGGGGCTACAGGCCTGGGGACACTTTCGACTTTCAAAGAACTGGATGTGGGTGTGAGACAGTCAGTGGATCTGGGGGTTGGCAGATAATGCAGAAGATATGTAAGCACCAGGCATCACCTGGTGACATCTGACAGAAAGGTCAGGAGTGGGGGAGTTGGGCCGGGGCCCCCAGCAGCCCTCATGCCAGAAACAGATTCACCGATGAGCATTGACCTGCTTCACAGCATGCAGTGCAGTGGAGTCTTGGGCCTCAGTGCTCATGTGTGTGAACTTCATTTCTTCGTCTGTAACCTGGGAGGCTGATGGGCGCCTCCTCCAGTGTCCTGACTCCATCCAGGCCATAGCTGGGGTCAGATCTGGATCTCAAGTGATGGCTCTGAACTTGAGAGCATGTGATCCAGCTTCAAGGCAGATCTTCAGGCTTAGTGGGACCCAAATTACTGGGTGAGACCTGGAGCTCCATCCACAGTACTAAAGTGCAAAAGAGGGAAGAAACGGTCCTTGTTCTGTGTGACCCGGGGATTCCTAGCATGACAAACACCCTGACCTTCACCTGTAGCTGCGAAGTCGCTTCGGGGACGTGTTCAGCCTGCAGCTGGCCTGGAAGCCGGTGGTCGTGGTCAACGGGCTGGAGGCCGTGCGGGAGGCGCTGGTGAAGCACAGCGAGGACACCGCAGACCGGCCGCCGATGCCCATCTATGAGCACCTGGGCTTCAGACCGAATTCCAGAGGCAAAGGCTGGAGGTGCACAGAGCGTGTCAGAGGAGGGCTTGGGGGCGGTGACCAGTGGGACGACAGGCTCTAATGGGGGCATTGATGTGGTCAGGGACACAAGGAACAGCTCTGAATCCCTAGGGCGAATGCTGGAAAATTCCCCAGTGTAAGATGGGGGCAGTTTGCTTGGTGATGTGGGGAGAACCCGTACCCAGCAGAGTAGAGGAAGGAGGAGGGGACAAAGGGCACGGCCACTGCCCCTGGTCACTCCCATGCCTGCCTCATGCCCAGGAGTGGCCCTGGCGCCCTACGGACCCGCCTGGCGTGAGCAGCGCAGCTTTTCCATGTCCACCCTGCGCAACTTCGGCCTGGGCAAGAAGTCGCTGGAGCAGTGGGTGACGGAGGAGGCCGCCTGCCAGTGTGCCGCCTTTGCCGCCCAGGACGGTGGGTGCTGGAGTGAGGGGCACCAAAAAGGGACGAGCCAGGAAAGTGACAGAATGGGCAACACCATGACCTGCATCCCTATTCCCAGGACGCCCCTTTAGCCCCAACGCTCTCCTGAGCAAAGCGGTGAGCAGTGTGATCGCCTCCCTCCTCTACGCACGTCGCTTCGAGTACGAGGACCCGGGCTTCATCAGGATGATGGACCTGCTGGAGGACGCTCTGAAGGAGGACTCTGGCTTGCTCCCCAGGTGCGGGGCTCAGGGCAGTTTGGGAATGGTGCAGATTTGCATGCAGGGAGATGGGCACAGGGCACCCGGGAGAAGACACTGCTAGAGGAAAGA